TACATTTTTGCGTGAACCATCTCTTTAAGAACCTCCAAAATTTTTTTTATTTATTCCAATTTTTGGTTCGAAGGCGAGTAAATGATTTTTTAGTTGAACTGTCCCTTTAAGCTCATCAAAGCTGCTATATATATAATAAGTATTATGACAGGAGTAGCAATGTTCCAAATTCATTTGAGTTGGATCTTTTCAGTGACTCATAAAATTCATAAGTTCATAAAATCAGTTTGAATGATTAGTTCACAATCCAGTCTGATTCAGTTCAACTCACTGATTCGGTTTTTGAGTTAACAGCTCACATTTCGGAAGATGATCAATCAGAACGTTTACATGGACAACAATACTCCGATTTTAATACGATTAAGACAATACTCTGATTAAGAATCTACCATGTAAACAGAGATTTTTGATTACCTTAATCCGGCTAAAGTCATAATCGAAGTAAACACTAATCGAATTAAGACATGTGGAGTATTCCTATTTTAGTCGCAAACGCCGTCATCTGTTTGCATGTATAGCATGACAAATAATTAACTGCATTTATATACATAGCTTATATACATAGCTTTCAGTAAATTAAAAATGAAACACCCAAAACTGCATATGGCATCATAACAAAGATGAACTATATGTTTATACGTGCAACTCCAGAGGGGACGTCGGATGGCGTCGCGTGCTGACGTAATGACGTGTGCCATTAATCGAACTATGTACTATAACATGTAAAACGGGAACATGAAAGGAATATTCTAAAATCAACTCATGTAAACACCTTAATCATAATATTGTCTTATTTAGAATAAGGTAAATAATTAGATTACTGATGTCCATGTAAACATAGTCAGTGAGAAACAACTTTACGTTTAAATTTCTCACACAGCTATCGAGGGACTTCAAAACTCATGATTCTTTTTATTTTGACAGCCTGATTCACTTTTATTATATGAAATGGTCATTTTAATTTTTATGTTCATTATTGCTTTAAAGAACCCAATTCCACACTGAAATGAAGTTGTAGCTGCTGTAGAGAGACAGAAAAGCGCATTCGAGCATATACAACCATTGTGCCGGGGTCACGTCTTCTATGCTTGTCTTTAGCATTCACCAGTAGGACAGATGGTCACATGGCAACCATCCCACCTCTGACAATACAGCCTGTCTGTCATTCGGTAGTCAAGGCTACAGTTACAAAAGCAAAACGGCTTGTCAAACCTCTCTCAATACGAGTACTCGATATACCTCCACACTCGATTATACTGCAACCAACAGCAGAAGCAATATCAAATAATGAATTCTTTCATCTTTTTAGAGCTCCCAAATAAAAATAACCAAGGTGGATATTATTAACCAATGATGCCTGTTTGGTCCGAAGCACAGACAATTATTTGATACAGCATCGGTGGATATTTATAAAGCAAGGCCGAGAGCTTTTCTCATTCGCTCAGATCCATTACAGCCAAGTGCATCGGCCTCATCGGAGGCACCAGCCAGGGGTTTTTAGCATGAGATAGGATTCTTGAAAGCATCTATTTTAGTTCATGGATGTATGCCGTTATCAGCGGCCAGGACATTTTGTGTGGTTCTCTAGGCCAGTCCGGCGCCCGTCAAAATACGTCTGGCTTTGGTTTTTACAAGACACAGAGGCTACATTAATGCAATTACAGCGTGTGCGTGTGTGTATATACAGTACACTGACCTCTGAACATTTCAGCGTGGCAAAAAAATATCTTCTATTGTTTGAGAGCATTCAGAGAGCTGACTCATGTCTGCTCACGGCAGACATAAAAACTGGCTATTTTTCACTTTGTGCCGAGGAAGATTTCTTCACATTAGGTGGCATGAGTAATACCACCAACGTAGCAGTGTTCGCTAATTACTTCACTTGTGTTTGGTTTGGCTTGTTGTCAAACATTAGATTCGCACTTGCGAAACGACAATGGAAGTCTTTAACCTGTGCTAAACAGATGTAGAGATGCAAAACATTCATTTACGACGTTTTATATGTGTTGCAGAGTCTGTAGCCATTTCAGGGACATGTCCGGTCTGCCAAGGTAGACACGGACTGACGTTTCGTTATTTATCAGAAGCATCTTCTTGACCAGTGGATATCAAAACAAAACATTCCTGCTGTCAGAAATGATTTTGACAGCTTTATCAGTAAGAGTAAATTAGCATCAAAGATGATGATCAATTAAATTTCAAAAATAATAAACATAACTAAAAATAAATGAATAACTATAAAAACAAACAAACAGTGATATCTTGAGGATTAAGCATACAAAGTCATTTTCCTTTTTTCCCCTCAGATTTGGAATTAATTAAGCAGTCAGTCCAAATACTGCCGTTTTGTCCTTCAATTCTTCGCATGTCTGTTTAACACTGGGTGTCTTGTTACGTAACACTGAAGGTTTGAAATCATAATGCGATTCTTCTCGCTGTACGAGCTGTGTGCTGCATCTTCTGCCAAGCAACTGAAAATCTCTCACGAGTTCAGTGCTCTGGTGAAGAGAGCGAATGACGGACATACTGAGACTGCAGTGCAGAGTATCACAAACTACAACTGATAATAATTTTGTGAGCTTTTCAAAATGTAACTAACATTTTACATTATGATTATATAACATCAGCTGAGCAATGATATGTGGTATGATGGTTTACTGTAGGCTGACGGTCCAGTGATAAATGCTCATAATTAATAATGCTGATATTTTTATAATTTAGATGTCTATACACTACCGTACAAAAGTTTGGGGTCGAAAAGACTTTTCAAATGTCTTTGAAAGCTTTATTTATTTGACCAAAAAACAGTAAAAACAGTAATATTGTTATAGAACCATTTTCTACTTTATAAATGCAATTTATTCCTGTGATGCAAAGCTGAATTTTCCGCATCATTACCACAGTCTTCAGTGTCACATGATCCTTCAGAATTCATTCTAATGTCCTGATTTGTTGCTCGAGAAACATTTCTTATCATAATCAATATTCAAAATAGTGCTACTTAATATTTTTGTGGAAACTGTGATTATTTTTTTTCAGATTCTTTGCTCAATGGATAGTTCAAAGGCATTGATTTGAAATAGAAATGTTTATTTATGAGGTTTACTATATAGCAACTGACATAATTTGTGTTTTATCCACTATCCAATGAGCTGTTTGAGGACTTTTGGAACATAAAGGATAGTTAATACTTCTATTAGCTTGCTAGATTGTTAGCAATACACATTAAGAAAGTGCACACTGTGTAATTGCTGGGACCAGCAGGCCGCTAGTGGTACTGCATCAACAAACACCTTCAAACGGCTGCCGCGATTCCATTCACCCCTATGGTGGCTCCATTCACATGTTTTCCAAACACAAGCTAATTCCTGAGGGTTCAAGTGCTGCTGCCTCAGCAATTACAGCCTGTACCTTTAATTAGCTTTATGCGTATTGTACAAGCAAAGCAAAGCAGAATGTCGCACACAGACGCTTGTAAACATACAACTCTCACATAAGAGAGGGAAACCTTCTCATGTTACAAACGCCCTCTTGCCTTTTCGGTCCTGTGGCTCTTTGCCTCCTCATCCAGAGAGCAAAGCGCGAGCCGTGCTGCGCTGTCACAGGGCGGCAATCCAGCAGGAAGTGTTGGCGGTGATATCAAAAGCGACAGGGAAATGAGCTGTAGTGCATCATGTGCGGACTGCAGGCGCGAGCTGTACTGATCACTAAAGGAAGTCTGTTAGACAGGACCCAGAGAAACATCACAAATATCTGAGGGCCGTCGCAATGAGGGCATTCCAGCAGAAAAGAGCAGGAATTTAATCTTGCCAGTCCTGCTACATCATCTTCATGCTGAACAGGGATAGCATTTTCCTGCTATCGGGAATAGAGTCAGGATAGGAAGGAATGTGAAGGTGCTTTTGAAGTGGTTGTAAAGTCAATTTATGGGTAAATCTTTGATAGATAAGGTAATCGAAATGGTTAAGCCATATAAGTTTGACCAGAAATACACTGAAAAGACCAAATGTTGTGTTGTGGATGCTGGTCTTCAGAATGGGATGCTGATGTATTCAAACCAGGAAATTCATGCTGGTATGAGCTGGAGGGTCATGTGCCATTCAGAAATGAAAAGAGAATTCTTTAGAAATTCCAGTTTGAATTGAGGTAGCAACCAGAAAGAAAAAAATTGCTATTCGAATTTAGATGAAAGTAAGCAGAATTAAAATTGAAATTCAATGAAAATCATACATGTGCAACTGTATTTTTAAGTTTATCAAGACAAAATGTTTTGTGAAAAGATTACAAAGCCTTAAAATTTGAAGATGTATAGATTTTTTGGCACCAAAAGTTTGGGGTCAGTAAGGTTTTTTAATGTTTTGAATATGTTTATGCTCAAATAGGCTGCATTTATTTATTAAAAAAGAGTCAAAACTGTAATATTTTGAAATATTATTGCAATTTTAAATAACTGTTATATTGTTGAATATAAATTTTAACATTTTTGAAAGTGGAAATTATTTGTAATCATTCCAATATGCTGTTTTGGTGCTCAAGAAACATTTTTTATTATTCTAAATGTTAAAACAGTTGTAGTGCTTAATCTTTTTGTGGAAACTTAAATAGAAAGTAAAAAAAAACATTTTTTTTTGTAACAATGTAAAAGTCTTTACTGTTACTTTTGATCAATTAAATACATCCTTGCTGCATAAAAGTATTAACTTATTTTTAAAATGTCTTACTGACATTTATAAAATTACCTTTTGTGGGTCAGGGCACAAAAACACTTCATTTCCCAGAATGCATTTTACTGTGCTGAACTGCAGTTCAGTAAACTCCTCTTCCTGTCATTCTAATTCATATTCCAATTCAACTTCCTGTAAGGTGTGGCCAAATCAATTCAAATCTGCACTCATGAATCGAAAGGGAACCAATTTTTCATTTGTAATTTTGCTGGGAGAAAAACGGTTTTGCCTTCAAGTGGTCCCACTTTAACACGTCACTTTCTGTCTCCCCTGCAGGTTCTACTGGGACTTGATAATGCTCATCATGATGATGGGGAATCTAATTATCATTCCTGTGGGAATTACCTTCTTTTCCGAGCAAACCACCACCAGCTGGCTCATCTTTAACGTGGCCTCGGACACCATCTTCCTGGTGGACCTGGTCATGAACTTCCGAACGGGAATTGTGAACGAGGAGAGCTCAGAGATCATCCTGGACCCAAAGGTCATTAAGATGAACTACCTGAAGAGTTGGTTCGTGGTAGACTTCCTGTCCTCCATCCCGGTGGATTATATCTTTCTAATAGTGGAGAAAGGCTTCGATTCGGAGGTCTACAAGACGGCCCGAGCGCTGCGTATCGTACGCTTCACCAAAATCCTCAGCTTGCTTCGTCTTCTCAGGCTTTCACGCCTCATCAGATACATCCATCAGTGGGAGGAGGTGAGGGGACAGCGTGTGTATGTGTGTGTGAGTGAACGAGCTATGACGCAGATGGCCTTTAGTAACACGTCTTGGATTTGCTAGCTTCCAGTATGAACAAGAAGAGATGTTAGTTGACGTTGTGCGCGTTCAGGTGTGTGTGCATGTGTTTGACGCAATCAACCCAAGGTTCTTTGATCTCAGGTGTTGTTCTGCAGCACGCACCCCTCTCTGAGACCTCTGACGCACACTCTTTAGAGGTGGAGATACTTATTTGGGGGTTAAGGTAAGCATATCTGCCGCTTAGCCCTCGGTGACACCTCAAGAGCCGCATTGGGGAGCGAGAACTGGAAGAGGAACCGACCTCTTCAACGCTGCGAGAGCAGTTAAGCAAAACTATTAAATGCCTCTGCATTCATGCTAGAGCACTTCACTTCCACCTCTGTCTGAGACACCCTAAGCTAAAATACAAAGCATTAATCTTCACATGATGCATATGGTTTGCAAGCCCTCCCCAACTGGCTGGTTTCACAAGAGCGTTGTTGCACTTTAAGGTCACTTTAATCAGAAAAACACTGCATGTTTCTGCTTCTCACCTACTATTATCCCTAGCCAGTTGTACAGTAAATTACTGTTTTGCGTCTTATGTTATGAAAGTTAACCCAACTCAGACAACCTTTTCTCGCCATGCTTGATAAAAAAGATATGGTTAGCTGATCTTTCCAAGGTAAAAATGCAACATCAGTGGTGTCGAGGAGGTCTGAAAGCTGGAGAAGGAATTCGAGATCGCTCTTTGTTTTGGTGCCCTGCGGGTTATTAAACTCTTAAAGCCAGTTTGTCTTCCTCTTCAGCTGGCAGACACCCAAGTCTGGACCGGTAGAGAGCAGAGTCAACGCTTTCTGATCTTACCTAATTGAAATACAGATGTACCTCTCAGGAAGAGTAAAACAAACTGACAGTAATCACGGCTGATTCATTACTATTGTTTTCTGCTGCAATCTACCATTGGATTAGTTAAGACAGGGACTCCATTAACATTTTTCTTTACGCTTGTGCAGAGAGAAAACAAAAACATTGCCAAAAACACCTAGTGCTAAAAATGCAGCCCAGAATTCACCATCATGATGCTAAGGTGTTGTGTGTGATTTCCAAACTGTTGCTATGTGGTTTATAAGATATTGCTATGTGGTTTATAAGATATTGCTATGTGGTTTCTAGCATGATTTGGGTGGTTACTTAATAGTCCGATTTAAAATAGCCCACTGAAGTCAATGTAAATCTAGGGGATTTCCTACACAGTCACATTGTAAAAACATGCCATTGGCGACATTTCTGCAAAGTGATTATACGTTGATTCTTGCATGTTTTTTCAACACTTTCAAAGCACAATGTCCACTTTGTCCAGTGGGACTAAAAGCATTCAGTTTTTTCCGAAATATATTAACTTGAATCTGGCAACATTTTATTAAATTGCTTGCACATATAGTGGTAGTTTGGAAATGAAATATCTAGTGAGAGATGCTAAAAGGTTAAAGGGTTAGTTCACCCAAAAATAAAAATTAGCCCATAAATTACCCACCCTCAAGTCATCCTAGGTGTATATGACTTTCTTCTTTCAGTCGAATCCAGTCGGAGGTATATAAAAAATTGTCTTTGATCTTTCAAGCTGTTTCATGGCACTCAGCGGGTGTTGCAGTGCTTCAGTCCAAAAGAAGTGAAATAAAAAGCACCCATTCATAAAAAAAAGTGTCTCACACGGCTCCGGGGGGTGAACAAAGGCCTTCTGTAGCGAATCGATGCGTTTTTGTAAGAAAAATATCCATATTCAAAACGTAATAATCACTTTAATGCAGCTTGCGGTCACTGTTGTACACTGGAAACAGTTCCGGGTGGATGACGTATGAGGACAGCTTTGTGCATGCGCCGCTCAGAAGTGACGCACGCGGAAACGCAGTGGAGAGATCAAAACAAAACAATGGTCACTTATTAGAAGTACAAAACGAGGATTTGTGAAGAAGAATGTCGGAGGATTTCGATATAAGCCAAGAGGAAACTTTGCTTCCTTTGCTCTTGTTAACAAACGTTGGTTTTCACGAGACTCACCAGCGCATGCGCAGCGCTGACCTCATACCTCATCCGCCCGGAACTGCTTCCGTGTACAACTGTTGGTGCAAGCTACATTAAAGTGATTATTACATTTTGAATATGGATATTTTTCTTACAAAAACGCATCGATTCGCTACAGAAGGCCTTTGTTCACCCCCCGGAGCCTTTTGGGGCGAGAAACATGAAAAATGTAGGGTTAAGTTTGTGTTTGAACCTTTAACCCTAAATATGACCTAACTATGACCAAATAATGCAGTAAAATGTACATTTTAAAGTAGTAATCCAGAACCACAGGCTAAAACAGGCCAGAGGCTTTACTAAGCACTTATTTACGGCATCCCCGGAAGCATCCGCATTATACACACCATTTACCCTCTCTCATGCTGCACTGATGCATTCTGGGAACTGACTGTCAGCCGTATCTCTCCCTGTCTTCCTTTCTGACCTCTCATTGCCATGCTGATTCTTTATTGCAAAGCAATATATATAAAAAAACAAGGTGCTACTTGCATATTTATATCTATACATATTGCATGTTAAATGCATTACTGCATATTTCCACACTCGGTTAGCTGTAAACCTCCCCCACTCTCTTCTCAGAGAGATGTTTTGATTGTCAGGAACGAGCATGTGTTTATTCCCGACCTCGGGTTGTGCTCCTGGCACATGCTGTGATTCCAGGGTTCGCTATCTCTGTCCAAATCTTGCCGTGAGCAGGTCTGTGTGCTATATACCGCAGTGTGTACGCCTCTGTGGATTAACCACCATGTTGAATGAAGTCACGGTACCCTGATCCGCTCAAACACAGCTGTGGCGTGAGTTAGCGCGTGGATCACGATGCCGCAGTGTGACATGGTGCAGAGTCTAAATAGGCTTTAATCAAACCTGGAGTGTGAATCAAGAGGTCGACGCAGAGCAGACGTTATGTTCGGTAGAGCTCAAAGGGTTTACAGAAAATGTGGTTATATTGGGTTGCTCATGCACATGCAATCTCGCATCTGTTTCTTATACATATGCTGTATGCACATGCATATCTCTTTCCTTTCTCCATATCTCGGTCTAATTTCCTTACCTACTCCTTCTTCTTTGCATTATCTAGAATTGCTTCTTTTTGTTTTCACTTAACCCTGCATTATCACTCTTTTACTTCCTGTCTCTCACTTCCTCTGTGTCTGTTTCTCTCGTTCTCTCTCCGTTTCTCCTGATGAGACACCTAAATCGAGGGGGAGGGGAGGTGGAATAGTGCACACATATGCTACAAAGAAGGTTTTCTATATTATTTTTGTGTAAATGGTTTGTAAATCTATTCATGTTTGCATTGAACTGAATGTGGCCATTTACATAACAATGGTTTCACGTACAATTCATTCTGCTCGTGTTTCATGAATTAGGTCTATTAACCAGAATTCCTTGCATTGCTTGCTATAATTTTTCAACACTGTAGAAAACTGTGTTCACAAGGATCTTTCTGTTTTGATTTGTAATAGTGATAGATAGACCAATATGTCACATCAGATCTTTTAATTTAAATTTTTTTTTGTAAAAACATTACAGTTTAAAGGTTTGGAGTTAGTAAGATTTTTTTAAATGTTTTGTCTCTTATGCTCACCAAGGCTGCATTTATTTGATCATTTGATCAGTAAAATAGTGAAATATTATTACAATTAAAAATAACAGTTTTCTATTTGAATATACTTTAAAATGTAATTTATTCCTTTGATGCAAAGCGGAATTTTCAGCATCATTACTCCAGTCTTCAGTGTCACATGATCCTTCAGAAATCATTCTAATAT